ATAGTAAATGAAGTACTGTTATGTTGAAATTGAATGAATGATTTATGCGATTACATTTCATTTTGTTACCAAAGAATGGAATCAAATATGGAAAGGCAGATTCTCACCTCATTATTACAGAAGAGTTCTTTTGCTTGCATGATGTGAGTTGGTGGTCTTGGTTCTTTTAATTAAGGATAAGAATTCAGTATAAACTTAGATTTCTTGTTGATTATCTTAAGCAGAAGGATTGAGGATTCATTCCTTCGTTAAAAAACCCACTAACCTGTCCCCTCACCCCCAGGGTGTGAGTACTGAAAAGGATTAAGGCCCACTGTAGGGAAGCTTGGGCTGAAGTCTGCTCTGCCCTTTCCACTGTTCTTTCAGTTAAATAGGAGATTTTAGTTCCCATGACTATCAATCTGGGGCTTTCACAAGATTCTTTTAAGAAAATTAAGATGACATTTTTAGAAATTCACTAGCCTACAATACTGAAAAATGATGTTGGAATAGCTTGCTGAAGATCCTATACTAATATTTTTGATGCATATTAATTTTTTAAACAGTTTTGGGAGATTTGGGGATAGATATAAACATTAAAAAATCAAGGTCAGATTTGTATAAGACTGGGGTTGCATGTCCATCAATTAACTATAGTTTGTCAGTGTTGAATCTTATATTTCATTGGGCATAATACTGTGGACATGAAACTTTAACTTTTATTTATAGATGACTGCAATTATGATGTGCTTTCTTTTAGTGTTTAAAGGCTTTTAAATAGCTGTTATAAATGCTGAGTTGTCATATACTTTTTCGGTGTCTGCTGAATTGGTATTGTATTTAATATTGAAATATATTTTGATTTTGTTAACTAAAAATAATTGCAGAGTATTAAACATTCTCAGTAGTTAAAGCTTTTTTCCCTTCTCATTTAATTTGAGCTTTTGTTGTTACTAACAAATAATTTGTGGTACAGTTTCTTTTCTTTCTTCTTTTTTTTTTTAATGACTGCTAGAATCTATATACTTGTCACCTTAGTGTGCTAGAAACGTTCCACTCAAATCAAGGGTCCCTTTCTGGTTTTGTATGTTCTCACCTGCTCCTCACTGTAAATCATTGAGATGTCAAGTGCAGTGATTAATTAAGCTGCACGTGCAAGTGCCTTTTTTTTTTTCACCTGTCAAGCAGGGAAGAAGTCTTACAGCAAGATTAGATGGTGCTGTCTAATTCACAGGCTTTACTCCAGGCTGTCAAGTGTGCAGAAATATTTTATATTTAGATGTTTATTCAGAACTTGGCAGCCTAGCTTGTTTACTTCAAAGTTTTAAAATATTACAAGATACAGTTATTATACCAAACCTTATCATTAAACTCTTAATTAGAGGCAAAGAATATGTTCAGAATTGCTGCCTAAATATTTTAGAGTTTACAGTTTTCATACTTTGTAATTATGCTTTAATCAGTGCTGATTATCAATTTAAGTTATCAAAAGTAAATTTTTTAAGTTTCTAAATCGATTGCTTGTATATCATAATAAGATCTATTCTCATTACAACATAGCATGAATTGAAATTTGTGATTAAATTATGACGATAGCAACTTCACTGTTTTTCTTCGAGTACTAAAAATTTGCAGAATGTACTTTTGGGTAGGAGCTTTATCATTCTTACCAAACAACAGACTTGGAAAGTTGCTTCTCCCACCATGGTTCTTCCATCACTTCTCCTGCTCTCCTTTTTGAAAAAATCATCAGTAAAAGTAAACCCCTCAAATTGTATAGTAATCTTAATCTATTATTAGGAGGTCCTAGAAAGGAAGATTACAAGGTAGATTCAGGTTTTGAATCGGGTTTGCCATTGGTTTAGCAGCGGGTGGGCAGGCAGATGCCTGCTCCGAGTAGAACCTATTGCCATTTTTCACCATTGATAGAGTAGCCTTTCAGAGTCAATGAGCTCTGTCAATGTGAGCTTGTCAAGGCTACAACTTCATAGACCTGAGAGGCGGTTTGAGAGGTCAGCCCTTTTCAGGTTCGCTGTGATGCAAATGAACTTTAATGCTTAAACAACTATTGGAATTTTTATGTCTGCTCCTTGTTCTTTTTTCTTCACAAAGTCATTGACGAGACATTCAGTGCTTTTTAAATTGGAAGTTGCATTGTGCTAAAGACCTAGTACAGATTTACGGAGGGCTGAAAGCAGTTAGATCATGTTCTTTTCATGGTGCGATTAGAATCAAATCGATTTCCCTACAGCCTTCAGCATTCAGATGGCAATTTTAACAAAGCTTGGGGGCTAGACAAGGGACAAAACGACTGAACTGAATGTTAATTACACTCTGCAGCCTTATTTTCTTTTGATTTGGGGCTGACTGGCAACTAAATTAACAAAAAGTGTGACCATAACTGCTGCCCTATTTTCATTTAAAAGGAGAGCTGCCTCTAAAAGGCTATCTTTACAAAGAAACAAGTAAGGTCTACTGATCATTGTTAACAAGGGCACTTTTTTTTCTCTCTCAAAATTCTTGCCCAAAAGATGCTGTACAAAGAAAAATGTAATAAATTAATCATTGATGAATTATTACCCAGAAAGTTAGTTGAGTTTCTGATTTGGGGGACATAAACCTGGAAAATGTACATCAGTAATGGTAATTCATTAGTAATTATGAATTATAATGAGCACCTATGTAACTGTGGTGTCTCTTAGGCATGTTTAACACGGAAAGGTAATATGCTAACTAGATTGCACAATAGATAGTTTAAATAAATATTAGCATTTTATTATTAACCGTAAGCTATTCAAAACCACCCTGATCCTAACAGTCCTAGGTTATCCGTGACATGTGTATTTTCCGATCTGTTTACAGTTGGGCTGCATTCATAGCACCAACTGTTTTTTCCTTCTCTTGCAAGTAAGCTGCAGCTGCACTAAGTTGCAGTGGTCCTGTGGCAACACTGTCCTTTTTGCACCTGCAGCTGTGTCAGTCTCATCCTAACACCTGGCACCATGAATTGTCCTCTCCTTTGTTCATACTTATGAGCAAGAACCATTTCACGCTGCAGAGTATGTATTGCAACACTCAAGTGATCCTAAATGGTGGAGTTGTCTGTTTCCTAAAACAGCAGTATCGAATAAAGAGTTTTATTGTAGTCTCAGTGTCGCGTGACGTTCGTTCATGTTAGTTTAAATAAAGCTCCATCTGAAAACTCCACCTGTGGACTCATAAACTGACTTTTAAATTTGAATATTATTTTTAAGTATGATGTAAAAATTAGTTGCAAATTGGGCTTTTTATTTATTAACTTTTAATTTTTTAACTTTACCCTAAAATCCATTTGCATTTTCTTACCTATACTTAACAACTTTTGTTTAAAAAAATGTATCAGTACTGAACAAATTAGTTTTGAAAGAAGTAGTGATATCAATTTATGTCATTTGGTAGTTAACATTAACTTTTTAGACTTTGTTGTTGTTGAAAGTTTTAAATCAACAGTTAAAAATGACACGTAGGCTAAAAATCACAATGGTATCTCTCTGAAAAAGGGTGCTATTTCTGTTCCGGTTCCTGTTGAGTGTTAGAACGTTGGGAGTGCTGCAGACCACCCCTGTACTCAGTCACTGTCTGTACCTCTCTGCTTTTCACACCAAAAGCAGCTGCAAAACAAAGTTTCTCGAAAACCAGTCAAGAGTAAACTTTTTTCTCATTTGTCTTCTAGACACGAAGATCGATTGAGAAGTTATTAGAATGGGAAAACAATAGGTTATACCACAAGGTGAGTACCACAGGGAGCAGCTTCGTACTGTTGGGGTCTGAATTGCACAGTATGGAAACAGATGCTTTTGTTGAACTAAAAATATGAAAGGTGGACAAATGGGTTAGTCTGTGTGCTGCAGTAAAATAGAACTCATTTTTCTTCTTTTACTATCCTACTTGTCTAGCTGTGCTTGCACTGGAGACTGAGCAAAAGGAAATGTGAAACGAATAACATGATGGAATATGTAAGTTAAAGGGCTGTTTTGTGAGTTTCTCTATTAAATGATCATTTATTTTGCTTCTGATCTCATTCTTTCCATGATTATTAATCAGCAAAGGTGTCAGGCGCTTAATCTCCTGAGTGCACGAATTTTCTACGCTTCACAGATGCATGGTTTCATGTGCAAGACTGATTTATAAAGTTATGAATGACTTGAAAACAAGGCTTTACTGTGTTCTGAAAAATAATAAATTAATTGCCAAGATAAAATAGCCTGAACATGTGTTGATGGAGTGTGAAATTTTAGATGCTGTATAAAGAATAACCACAACTTTGGTTACGCAGCAAGTCAGATATGGCTTTTTTATATAATGCTAATCAAGTTTCCAACTATGGAAGAAACCTTTCAGCCAAACTGCTGGAGCTTAAGAAACCTTCCGCCTTTATAGATTTTAACTGCCCATACCTCAGCGACCATTAAAGAACCTTTCAAAGTCTTATTAGAATGTTGCTTTGTAGAAGTTATCTTAAAAGTAAGTAGGAGATGAGGTGTTGCTTACTGTGTTTATTCTCTAAAATATGACTGATTTGGCATTTGTTGTCAGTGGATTTTGGAACTATTCAGTATGGGATTTAATTTAGCTAAGTCCCTGATTTACCTAACAGTTTTTGTCCTGGTAGAAAGTAGACTACTGTAGAAAAATGATGATTTTTAAACTTACTCTCACTTGAGTTTGAATATTTTCTTTTAAATATAAAAGTGTTATTACATTAAAAGAAAAAGAGAAAGGGATCTAAGAAAAGGTTACTTGTTAAAAATTAAAGTCATCACCTTTGTGAAGTACTGGCATAACATTTCTAACAAATTTTGTCTATTCTTTGAAACAATATAGCCATCACTGGTAGTATGTATATGTTAAAAAAAATTGATTAAAATAGTGTTTAAATAGTTGGGAAATTATTGTAAAATCATTTTTCTCTGTTAGCAGTTCTCCTTTCTCTCATTATCATACAGTCAAATCCCATTTCTAGACTTGAATATAAAAGACCCTTTTAAAAATGCCTCGATTTTTCATAGAATAGATCTATTCAGTAAACGGAATAATGTAGATTTTTCATATCATTATCTTTTATATCAAACATGTTAATTTATGATGATGAGAAAGACACATGGTATTTCTTTATAATCAAGAGGAAAAAACACACCTGAGTATGTGTTTGTGAAATATGAAAATACTAATTGTATACTTTCCTCATGGTCAGTAAGAGTTTTGTGTGCATTTGGGAAGGAAGGAGGAATATGTAGATGATATAAAGGGTTTTATTATAAAATATTTGCTATATTTGTAAACCCAAACACTAAACAGGCTTTACTTTATTTGTATGTGTGTATTTCTAAATTTATAGCCCTAGTGTGACACTGTAGAATAAGCACTGGACGTCTAACTGAAAGGTTGGTAGTTCAAATTCACCAGCCGCTCTGTGGAAGCCCTAGACAAGGGTCACTATGAGTCGGAACAACTCCACAGCATTTAACAACATTTCTAAATTTACTCTGGCAAACAAAACATGTTATTCTCATTGCCACTAATTATCTCCAGATATAATTATATACCATAATTTTGCACAAATGACACAGTGTATGTTTGTTTGCCAACCACAGCGTCTCCTCCAGGTATTTTGGAAGTACCCTGTGCTAAGCTTTCAGTAAGCTTACAGAATACATTGGCAGGTGGAGCTGGCAATCATAAAAGGCTCATTGTTTGTGTAAAAATATGATAAATGTCATTCATCATTAAGTATATTGGTTTTATGACATTTTTATTAACTAAAAATAAACTAGTAATCTTATAAAACATTCTGAACTTTATGTAATTTCTCATAAATTTTTAGCTAGTTAAAAACTTCACAACATCCTAGAAGATGCCCATCAGAGTAGTAAGAACAAAGACAGTTTAAAAGTTGCTGTTAAAAATGTGTTTTTAGATACTCTTGTATTTGTGATGGTTGAAAGGGGAAAGAATGTATTTTTTAAAACTCTCCTTAAGGCAATAAACATTTTTTTAATAAAAAAAATCTAATTAATTTGGGCATTTTCACATGTATCCCTCTTTTGAGCTCCATTTTTTTCTTACTTTCTCTTACTTTACTTATTAGTTAAGGAAAGTCAGATTCCTTGACTGCATTTTGAAATCTTGTAGACAATCTAGAAAAAATATCCACCAAATTTTCTATGTTCCACTATGGTAGAGAGTATTACTTAGAAGAAATTAGACAAGTGGTTAATTTCTATATGTGATTTTTGAAGGAGAAGAGTCTTTAGGATAATTTCTTTTAAAAAGCGTATTTTTGCATTATGCATTATCCTTGGTACAAATGTAATGCCTAAGAAAGAACTAAGATTATAGACTACTCGATTTAAGGACATGGTTGCAACATAGATGCATTTATTGAAGCTGACTCTTAAGTTTCAATGTCTAATATTCTCATTTTAGTACAGTCCCTTGATTGTATAAATTAGGAAACTGAGAAACAGGGAAATCTAACTAGCTACAAGAAAGTACTTGAGCAGTGAAGCCAAACTTGGGAACTGTTCAAATCAAACACTTTTGTTTAGCATCTGCTCCATATAGAGTTAGAGCCAGGGAAAGAGTTCAAACAGTTCCAGTTGGAAATCTTAAACTGGTTTATTGTGTTACTTATATCTTGCTTTTTGGCAGTTTTCCTATGTTGTTGTTGTTAAGTGCTGTCAAGTCAGTTCCAACTTACAGCCACCCTGTATAGGGTTTCTAAGGAGCGGTTGGTAGGTTTGAACCTCTAACCTTGCAATACAAACCAACCTTGAGATCCAGTGCTTCCGCCTACAGTGCCACACCAGGACTCCATATGTATATATAGACAATGTTATTAACTTAATCTCAAAGGTCTTTTATTAACAGAATCCTAACTTTTGTATAATGATAAGAGGCTGAATGTTAATTACCCAGTGGTTTGAACCACCAACCTCATGGTTAGCAGTCAAGTGCTTATCCTACAGCTCCACACTAGGACTCCTGGTTTTCTTTGTGGCCTCTTAAAAGGCCCTTTAGAGCCAAATTTTATGTTTAATTTTGCTAATCTAAGAGGGAAACAATTTTTTTTTTAAATGTAATTAAGAGAAAGTATCTATACCCTTTATCTAGAGATTATAGATCCTAGTACAGTAAAATGAGAGCAATTTTAAAACTTAGAGACGACCCATGAAATTAGGTTAGTTTAGATGTTCTTGTTTTAAGTACTATTGAATCTGTTTGGACTCTTAGCAACCCTGTATACGGTTTTTCAAGGATGTGAATCTTTGTGGGAGCAGAAGGTCTCATTTTTCTTCCACGGTGCAGCTGGTGGGTTTGAACTACAGACTGTGGTTAGAAGTTCAATGCTTATACTCTGGAGCCACAACACTTCTTAGTTTAGATAGAAAGGAGCAATCTTTAAGAAATAACTATTGGGTCAGCTTCAGCCACCTAATATAATAGTACAGTAGAAAGGGCAAGGATATAGATTCAGTCACATCTGTGGTCTGAAATTTCTCGGATCATCAGTTTCCTTTTCTGTGAAGTGGGAATGCCTCACAGATAAATTGCTGGGATTAAATGATTCCATATAGAAGGGACTCCTGGTGTGGCACCGTGGGTTAATGTGCTACACTGCAAGGTCAGTTTGAACTTCAAGGTAAGCAGTTCAAACTCACCAGCCGCTCCTTCGAAACCCTTTACAGGGTCGCTGTGAGTTGGAACCAACTCCGCAGTGCTCAACAGCAACAACAACAACATCATACCAGGTGTTGTCATTCTGTTGTTGTTGCTCTCAATAAATGTTAGATCCCTGTTCTCATTCGTTCGTTCCTTCAGGCTTCTTCTGTGTGTTAGAGACATTGTCTATATCATCCAACTGTACTCACCTTACCAAACTTTGAAATATTTTCCTACTTGGTAAAGATTCAGAAATCAGAAGAAAATTTTTCAGTGATGGAGCTATCTACGTTGTCAAATAAATGTCTGTTATAATAGTGCAAAGTTGTGGTTATGACATGTGACTGGATTTTCAAAAACTGTTGAAGTTTTGTTATGATAAAAGTCTATTTAAATATTCTTAAAACTTTTTCTCTCTTTCTACAGGTCATCCTCATAGAATTTTTACCAAAGACACCAATTTTTCGACCAGATTAGCATTTGCTTTATTTATAGAGACTTTCCAAGTATGTTGTCTTTCCAATGGTGCCTTGCTTGGTGCTTTCCTGGTGGTGACATAACATGGGTTCTACAGAATCGTGTGGTGTTTTGTTTTGTTCTGTTTTGTTTTGTTTTTAAATAACCGCATGTTCTAAGTGTGCATTTTTGTCAAACTTTGCAACAGTTATTTCATACAGATGTTTAATACTTAAGTTATTGTGCTCTTTTCTGTTATGTATTCTGATTTTCAAGGATTACTTTTTTGTATTATCAAAAAATACATTTGAACTTAGCCTACAGAGTGGCCAGTGTTTTTTCTTTTATCACCCAGGTACACAGAGTCCTTAATTTTTAAATTCCTTAACACAGAAAGCATCTCTTTAAGTCTCTACTTAGCTATTCTAACAAACACATTCTTTGTATTATTTTTCTAACTTTTTAAATGTCACATGGTCATTATTTTTAAATTGTATGTTTTCTTAGTAGCTTTCTGGAACCTAACAGTCCCTCTCTCATACACTTCCTGGTGTTCTGTTTACAATAGATTATGCCTGTAGTTGTTATGAAGTCCAGTCATTAAAAAAAGAGCAAGTTTGAAAAGCATCTCTGTCTTTACAGAATGATTAGAATTGACAGGTCAGTGAGTGGTGTACATGCATCTTCTTGTTCTTAGAGCTCAGGGTCCGAGGGCAGTGAGTGGCCACATCACCTGTATATTGTGTCCAAGGTCAGAATAGCCATACTGGAGTTATCTTTTATTGTTTATCAGCTCTCATATACAGAAGTATGGATGTAGTCCTTTTAAAAATGTCTACGAAAAAGTCTTTGAAAGAAAGCAAAAACTCTAATAAAATGAAAAGTAAACAGCTGTTTAATACCCTACTGATATTTAGAACAAGATTATTACTAAGAAAAAAAATATATATTATTACTAAGAAGTGGGGGACCTATTTAGTGCTTTTTTAATCTATTTATTTTGCTTTTTGTCCAGTTTGTATACACGATTGAGAGTGTAACATGTTTGAATGATGTTAGTTTCTTTTTAACACATATACACATAATTTTTTTCTCCTTTTAGTTATACATATCTCCGTGCATTTACAAATTTAAAACAGTCTGAATGGGCTATATACAAATTTTTGTTTTTATAAGCTTGAAATTATACAAGTTTTAATGTATCTTAAGAATTTGTTCCATATAACTGTGGTATCGAGCAATAATGTGAATAACTTTTGAATTATATGAATTGTGCTTAATAATTTGTATTAAGAATTGGTACCACTATATGATACTTTTTCCGTGTATTAAATCTTTTAAATACCCGCTTCATTAATTTATATACCTATGTTAAACAAACAAACAAACAAAAAAACCCACATACCTTTGTACTTCTCTGAAGTACTGTAATTCTATATGCATCTGGATAGATGAATGCCAGTATCCTATATTGGATGTTGTGTTGTTGTTCAGTGCTGGAAGCTATCTTAAAAACTAGGATATTTTCTTTTTTCAGTCTGAGAATTATTTCGCTTGCCCACCTCCCACCCCCTATAACAACTTGAATTTAAGACCACTTTTCTTATGAAGAGCTCAGCATACAAAGAATTCAAACACTTCTCATTTCATTTAAATTAAGTCTAGAGTGTGTGTCCTACCTCAAGTAATATAATAAAAGATAATAGTATTCTAACAGCTCTTGTATTCCTCAGCGGTGTCAATGTGGAAAATGTGGAGCGTGCTGAATCTGCCTGAGGATTCACAACAAGCAAAGCACTCTAACGATTGTGTGGAATGGGTAACAGGCTTCCCGAATGCAAGGCATATGTATACATTTGTAGAGCGCCATATTGATTGGCATTGTAAAAACAACTACTTATTTAGAAATATTTTTCTTCTGTTACCAGTCTTAGGTAAATTACAGTTTTAAAATGATTATATTTCTATAACGATATTTTAACAGTAAGATAATTTCCATGATTAGTAGTATCAAGTATGGTTCTGACTCACAGGGACCCTGTATAGGGTTTCTGAGCTATAAATCTTCATAGGAGCAAAAAAAACCTCATCTTTCTCCCTCGGAAAAAACTGGTACATTTCTTCATTGGAACAACAGGTAGATTTGAGAACTTTTTTTTTCCTGATTTTATTGAGAGTCATGCCAGTTGCTAAAAGAGATTTTCTGAGGAAGACTAATTCTCTTAGATCTCCAATCCATATATAGAAAAGAACCATGAGTACTTAATATGTGAAATTATCATAAGCTGTTTATGTCTTAGATAGTTAGATTTCCTTGCTTTGCATTTCATTAGTAGCCCTCAATGTAACTAATGAGTCCTTTTCTTGAATCATGAATTAGGTGCAGTGGTTAAGCACTAGGCTGCTAACCAAAAAGTTTGGTGGTTTGAACCCACCAACTGCTCCATGGGAGAAACAAGGGGCAGTCTGCTTTCACAAAAATGTACAGACTTGAAAACCCTATGGGACAGTCCTACTCGGTCCTATAGCGCTGATAGGAGTTGGAATTGACAATGTCAGTGGGGTTTTATTTTGGAATCATGAATTTAAATTACTCATGTTGCAAGAAATTAGAAATGTCAGCGTTCCCTATGTTGTTTAAACATCAGTCCACAGGGTATTTAAAATGTTGCTTGTTCTTCAGCACCTTTTTTCCGAATTAAAGTTTGTAGAACATGAAGTATAGGGACTTCTTAAACTTGCCAAGAAAATGTTGTATTGGCAGGTAATGTGTAGCTTTTAGATGGGCTGAGTGAACAGCATATCATTAAAAAAAAAAAATTACTGACATTTTACTTTCAGTCCACTATTCCTGTGTAGACATTCTTTTATCATTTAATGTAATTTTTGAAACCCTACTGTATTTCACTATATGACTTTGGGGATTTGGATTAAAATATATACTCCAAAGGCCAAAGACTGTATTAAAACTCTGATGTGATTATATTTTCTTCGAACTCAGATGCTGCCCCTCTCCGAGCTATGTAGAATATCATCAGATGCGTTATTAAGGCTCTTGAACCTACCAGGTTTCATGCATTCAAAATGTAAGCATGTAGTTTTATAAATTTGGCTTCAAATCTATGTGTTCAAATCTTAAATAATAGTAAATTATTATTTATTTTTCTTATTAGAAAGAACAGTTTTATAATTGAATACTTTTACGTCCAAAGAACCACAACTCTCCCCATGGTGGTTTAATGTAGTTTTAGAGAGCTCTGATAGTTTCTTATATTAGTAGACACAAGTCAGCCCAATAAAATCTTGACAGCATTCCATATCAATCTGTAGTTTATTAAAAATAAAGATGATATTAACTAGTCATAGGTACAAATTCACAGTTGCATGAGTTTAAATTACACTAGTTTTATGTAACAGTATGTACATGGTCTGACTGTTTAAACCTTTATGGTATTCTGCTTCATAATTATGACTAACTGCATGCCTGATATATCACTGTAAATATTTGCTAATGACTCAAGATTCGTCCTTTGATTCGTAGTATTAAATCAAAGGTATAATTTCTGTATACTTGTCTGACAGAAGAATTCCAGTGTCTAGTCCTGGACCTCCTTTCCTTGTCTTGTGCTTCTGAGGCCCTGCGAATCCTTTTGCTGTCCTCTTGATATCAACAGTCTTCACTTAGGCCTGGGCCTGGTTCAGAATTGCCTTTCAGCTTCCTTCTTCCAGATTCCCAGTAAGAACATGTAGGGTGTTTTTGCATTCTTAGCTAGGCATTTCAAAGACCCATTGAGGTGAGTCACATTAAATAAGTTGTTGACAACCTCAGTTCTGCTAGGATGGTACTAGCATTTTTAAAGAGGGGTTTTAAAACTTAAATTTCTTATTGGTGTAGCATGCCACAAGTGATGTTTTTCTTCTAAACAGGCCCTATCATTCCAAATTTTCCAGAGAGAGAGGATGGTTGGATTTGGGGCTCCCCAAACCACCATTTCTGAAGGGAACTGATTTATATCTAGTATTTGGAAGGAAAGGATAGGTTCAGGTTCAGACCAATCCTAAACCAAACATTTAACAATATCTCAGAGTAGTTTGTGTATAGTGTTATTTTATATATATATGTATAAAATATATGTATTAAAGTATTGTGGTGGTGTTAAGTGCTATTGATTTGGTTCTGACTCATAGGAGTGGCTGGTGGGTTTGGCCAGCCGGCCTGGGGGAGTTGATTCCAACCCACAGCAACTCTCCAGGACAAAGCAGAACTGCTCAACAGGGTTTTTGATGCTGTAAATCTTTAAGAAGCAGACTGCCTCATCTATCTCCCACCGAGGGACTGTTGGGTTCTCTCTACCAACCTTCAGTTCGCAGCCTAGTGCTTAACCCATTGCACAACCAGGGTATCCCAAACCACAATGTATCTTCAAACTATAGATTTTCTTTTTCTATTAACTACCCTAGTGATAGGTGGTGGTAGTAGTGTGCCGTGGAGTTGGTTCCGACTCATAGTGATCCAGTATAGGCTGTAAATCTTCACAGAAGCAGAAAGCCTCATCTCTGTCCCATGACGCAGCTGGTGCATTTGAATTGCCGACTTTACAGTTAACAGCCCAACACATAACCCACTATACCACCAAGCTCCTTATTAACTGCCTTACTGGGTCTTAGCTGAGTAATTACAACAATCTCATTGTATTGTCATGAAATCTTCACAAGCAGAAATTTGTTTTACTGTGAGGTTATCAAAATCCTTTTAAAGTTTCTGTTTCATTTTGCATTTGTTGATGTTAATGACACTGTGAAGACTTTGGTGTTGTGAAACTTAACTGGGGGTGGAACTAAGGTAGACAGGATTGGAAGTCAAGATGCTGAAGTCTGCTGGCTGAGGGAGATACTTGCATTGTTATCTTGCACTTCGATTTGCAATGTTGAAAGTTATGCAGTAGCCAGGAATTAAAGACAGCTTCATGCTTTCCTTTATAAACTTTCTGTATGCATTACAATGGAAATTATCTTTGAAAGAAAGAAAGAAATTTATCCTAGATGGAGTTTTCCTCTGTCTTGCCTGTTCATAAAATAAGTGGGAGGCTACCTTAAATAAAATACACATCTAGGCATTTTTTTATAATTAGAATGTGACAATTAAGAAAAACACTAAATAAAGGACTTTAGACATTGGTTCTTACACCCTAAGACGAACATAGTTGCTAAGTGCCATTGAGCAGTTCCAACTCATTGATCCTGTATAGAGTTTCCAAGGAGTGGCTGGTGGATTTGAATTGCTAACCTTAGGGTTAGCAGTCCAGTGCTTATCCTAC